AACGATCCACCCTCCAATCACCTTCACGTCCTGGCGTAGGCCAGTCCCCTATAAATAGGGCCATGCACCACAGCTCTTCTCCTTTCTCTCTCAGCTTGCCTAAGAGAAGCTTCGATTCATTAGCTAGGATGTCTTCAAGCAAGATCCCCGCGCCTGAGAACTTGCCACCCTCCGGTGTCAGGCTGCGGATCTGCGACTTGTGCCCAGCGGCACTCTCCCAGACTGACCGCCACGAGTCCAGCGTCTTCTGCCTGGGCTGGCGTTGTGCCGCGGGAGAAAGCCCCAGATGTGTGGCTTGTCTCGCCGTGGATTATTTATGCCGTATAGAGTGGTGCCCTTGGTGGCATCGCTCATGGTGTGCTACCCTCTATCCACGCTGAACAGACGTATAGCTAATACACCACAGATGGTTGTCCTAGCTTAACACATCACTTTGCTCGCTTCATCCCTGGAGTGGTGCCCATGGTGGCTCGCTCATTGGGTGCTACGTTCTGCTCACGCTGGACAGGCGTAATACTACTGCGCCACAGATGGTTGCTTAATAACATCACTCTCGGTGCCCATGGTGGCTCGCTCAGGGTGTGCCTCTGCTTCACTATATCAGCCGCGAGGGGATAGGCCCATGACAGCCCATTCCCCGGCGCTAGCGTATGGAGTATACGCGGGTGCGGAGGCCTGGCCTTGGCGGTCAGGCTTTCCTCCCATAGAGGATGGAGTACGCCTGTACAGCAGCTTCCCCCCCCCCCCCCCCGAGCGGGGCAAGCCGGCCGTGTCCATGCTTGACAGGTGTTAGGCTTGTGCATCATAGGTCGTTGCTATGGCTTATAAAATTACTCTCCTCGCTGCATTCCTCGGACAGGGACCGCTCTGCCACCCCGCACCGCTCAGAGCCAAGAGGAGACAGCAAGCGCGTGACAAGCAGAGGAGCAGCAGCCACCCCGGCTTTGCAGCTGCAAGGAGGGGAGGGAAACGCTTTAATAAAGGCCATCATCAGGCCCGTTACTCCCTCAAAGAGAACACTTCTTTCCCCTTTTCCTTATCCTCAGCGCTTGGCCAACGCTGCTCATCTGCCAAGTGCCTGGAGCCTCTCTCAGCGCGCCTCTCGTGCGCGCGCTGGAGGCATGCTCCGGGACCGCTGTGCGCTCCCCGTGCCTTTGCCTCTCTTGGGCAGAGAGTGCGCGGCTGCACGCTACCCTCCTACGCTCTCTGTGCGCCACGAGCACCAGCTCACAGCTGTCCTGCCCTCACGCTGCTACCCGGTAAAAGCCAGGGCCGCAGCTAGGGCTCAGACCTTTTTCCAGCGGCCCCCCACTATCCAGAGCAATGAGTGGTACTGCTCTCCCCCCCCCCCCCCCCCTCCTCAGTCCACAGTGTTGGGGAGCGGGGGCTCGGCTCCACGTAAGCGCAGCACACCTGCCCTCACGTGGCCACCCAGAAAAAGGGCCCAGGGCCGCAGCTAGGGCCCAGCCCTCTTCCCAGGGCCCCCCCCACTGCAAAAAGTGGGACTGCTCGGCCCCCTATCAGTCCACAGTGTTGGGGAGCGGGGGCTCGGCTCCACGCGGCCACCCGGAGAAGGGCCCTGGGCCGCAGCTAGGGCCCAGCCCTCTTCCCAGGGGCCCCCCACTGCACAAAGTGGGACTCCTCGGCCCCCTCTCAGTCCACAGTGTTGTGGAGCGGGGGCTCGGCTTCACGTAAGCGCAGCACACCGGCCCTCACGCGGCCACCTGGAAAAAGGCCCAGGGCCGCAGCTAGGGCCAAGCCCTCTTCCCAGGGGCCCCCCACTGTAATAGGTGGGACTGCTCGGCCCCCTCTCAGTCCACAGTGTTGGGGAGCTGGGGCCCGGCTCCACGTAAGCGCAGCACACCTGCCCTCACGCAGACACCCGGAAAAGGGCCTAGGGCCGCAGCTAGGGCCCAGCCCTCTTCCCAGGGGCCTCCCACTGCAATAAGCGGGGCTGCTCGGCCCCCTCTTAGTCCACAGTGTTGGGGAGCAGGGGCTTGGCTCCACGTAAGCGCAGAACACCCGCCGTCACGCGGCCACCCGGGAAAAGGCCCAGGGCCGCAGCTAGGGCCCAGCCCTCTTTCAAGGGGCCCCCCACTGCAATAAGCGGGACTGCTCGGCCCCCTCTTGGTCCACAGTGTTGGGGAGCAGGGGCTCGGCTCCACGTAAGTGCAGCACACCTGCCCTCACGCGGCCACCCAGAGAAAGGCCCAGGGCCGTAGCTAGGGCTCAGGCCTTTTTCCCACGGGCCCCCCACTATCCGATGCCTCCCCAGGATGGGACATCTGTGGGCGGACCAGGCCTTTCTCCCTCCTCCCATCTCGCTGTGCTTCCCTTGACCCATGTTGTCACTGTATCGGAACAGTCGGGGCTCCGGGGAACTCTGTGGATACACAGAGTGCTGAGTCGGGGCTATGCTCTCCAGTTCTCCTGGCGGCCCCCTCCTTTCTGCGGCATTCTCCAGACAGGGCTAGGCAGCCCGGAGAACGCCGTGGCGCTTCACAGGGAGGTCAACACGCTTCTGCAGCGCCGGGCGGTAGTGGAGGTAGACCCGCTCAGGACAGGGACAGGGTTTTACTCTCCATACTTCATAGTCCCCAAAGAATAAAAAAAAAAAAAAAAAAGTGCGGAGGGGTGCGGGCCATGCTGGACCTGCTCGTCCTCAATGGCTGCATAGCCAAGCGACTGTTTCGCATGCCCACAGTAAACAGCTACTCCTGAGCATCAGGCCCGGGGACTGGAGGTCCTCCGTGGACCTCCACGACGCGAATTTTCACAAACCCATTGCACAGGGGCACAAGAAGTTCCTCCGGTCCCCCACTCGGCTACTCCCTAGCCCCCCCGCACCTTCTCCAAGTGTGTGGAGGCGGCGCTAGAACCCCTTCGGCGTCAGGGCGTCAGGGCCTCAGGACACTGACGTATATCAACGAATGGTGATCCTGTCCTCCCGGGAGGATGCGCAGGATCAAACGTTCAGAGTGTTAAACCACGTGCCCACCTAGGGTTTGTGATCAATAGGGACAAAAGCTCCCTGTGCCCGGCCCAGGAGATCTCGTATCTGGGACTGGGCTTGAATTCCAGGAGCATGACGGCTTCACTCTCGCCAGAGAGAGAAGCGGCGGTTCAGAACCTGGGCCGGATCGTTCTGGGTGAACCTCGGGTGCAACCGCGGCAGATCCAGTCTCTCTTGGGCATGATGGCAGCGGCCCATCCAGTGGTGAGACTGGGGTTGCTGCACATGCGATATCTCCAGAGGTGGTTCTCACACCTCAGGGGCTTATCACGGAGGGAGCGACTGTCGTTGAGGGCTCAGAACGACGTCGCCTTCTGGCTGTCCCCAGGTCGACTCCAGGAGGGAGTTCAAATGGGTGTTGTGGACCACCACATCAAGGTCTTCACGGACGCCTCACTGAGTGGTTGGGGAGGCGTGCTCGGCCACCACTCGACAGGAGGCGTTTGGTCCTCCCCCTTGGGGCACATCAACCTCCTGGAGTTGGAGGCGATGCGGTTGGTGCTGACCCATTTCATGACCAGACTGGAGGGCCAACAGGTGATTGTTCGGACGGACAACACCACTGTGGCAGCATATCTGAACAGGCATGAGGGGACCAGGTCCCCCGCCCTTCACAAGCTGGCAGTGGAGGTTCTTCTGTGGGCGGACATTCACCTAGCCTCTCTGAGGGCCCGTCATATCCCAGGCGAGCGTAACGTGGCCGCCGACAGGATGTCCAGGGGCGAGGCCTTGCGGGACGAGTGGGGTCTCGCCCCAGCGGTCGTGGCAGAGGTCTGGCTCCGGTTCGGGACACCGGTGGCCGACTTTTTCCCAAATGCAGAGAACGCACAGTGCCCACTCTGGTTCTCGCTCAGGTCCAGCAACGAGCCCCCTCTCGGGGTGGACGCCATGGCGCACCGGTCGTGGCCCAACGGTCTCCTCTACGCCTTCCCGCCTCGCCGGCTCTTGGCAGCCCTGCTTTACAGGGTGAGGACGGAGGAGTCTCCATCCTGGTGGTGGCGCCGGACAGCCCGGGAGCCAGGTGCTATCCGGACCTGGTGAGCATGGCGCTCAGTCCGCCTTGGCCCGTTCCGGACCGTCCTGATGCTCTGAGACAGGCAGGGGGAGCCCTTTACTCACGCCCTGTCCTGGGAAGCAGGCTCATGTTGAGCCTTGGTCTCCCTCCCTCAGTGGTCGCTACTATTCAGGGTGGGAGGGCTACATCCACCACCAAAGCGTATGAGGTTCGCTGGAAACTCTTCGCCTCTTGGTGCGTGGACAGATGGTCCAACATCCCTCCATCCAGGAGGTCTTGGCTTTTCTCCAGTTCTTGCTGGAGAAATGGAAGGGCGGCCGCCACTCTGGGTGTGTTTGCGGCGGCCATTACCACTGGGCACAAAGGGGTTTGGTAGGCACTCTGCGAGGTTCCTACGAGGGGCCCGCAGGATCAGGCCTCCCCTCCGGCGGTCGGCTCCGTCTTGGGACCTTCAGGTGGTCTTGGCTGGCCTTTCAGGGCCTCCATTTGAACCCCTGGACAATGCGACCATTGCCTCATTGTCCTACAAAACGGCATTGTTGTGGGCGTGGGCTTCGGCCAAGAGGCCGCCTTTTCCGTGCAGCCGTCTTGTTTGTCCCTCCCCGATCGGGAGGGCATGATGGACATGGCACTTCGGTGGAGGAGATCTGCAGAGCGGCGTCTTGGTCCTCCTCCTCGACTTTTGTGCAGTTTTACCTACTGGAGGTGGCCTGAGTGAGTGCAGGGCGGCCCTAGTTCCTCCTTCGACAGACCTCGGTGAGAACTGGTCTGCAGGGGGGGGGTTGTGTGGAGAGGTGTTGGCGCTCTTGGGAGAGGCGGCCAGGACACCTCTGCAGTAAGGATAGGCGCTCTTGGGAGAGGCGGCTTAGGCCCTTCTGCAGTCTGCTTTACACTCCTGGGGATCAGGCGCTCTTGGGAGAGGCTGCCTGCCCAGGTTTGTTCTGATTTCTTTCCTGCTTTGCAGGTTGGAGAATGCGTGGGCACTCTTGGGAGAGGTGGCCCAGCATCCCTTTCTCTATGGCTCGTAGGACCTCCGTCTCTACCGCTTGGTTGCGGTATGAGCACGTGGGTCACGAGTTTGCTCCAATCACCGGAGTTCATGCCTGCTGGGAGTACATCGGTCTGGGCTTCGCTATGTTATGCATTAGCGAAGCCTAAAGGGCGAAGCAACATATGAAATAGAAACCCCAGTTACTTAATGTAACTAAGGTTCTATGAATATGTTGCGAAGCCCTTTAGCTTCGAGCCCAGCAGGCCTGCCCTCTCTTATTCGGCTGAGTTCGAAAGGAGAAGAGCTGTGGTGCATGGCCCTATTTATAGGGGACTGGCCTACGCCAGGACGTGAAGGTGATTGGAGGGTGGATCGTTTGATCTTCTCAGGGCGGGAAGCGATGCTTCCGAGAGATATGCATTAGCGAAGCCTAAAGGGCGAAGCAACATATGAAATAGAACCTTAGTTACATTAAGTAACTGGGGTTTACCATTGATTTGATTAACGTGAAAACATAACCAGAGATGTGAGAACTGCTCTTTTGAGGTTGTTAAAAGACATTATTTCTGGGAGAGGCCCTTTGAGCCCTCTTTACCTCGCGGTCTCACTGGTGTCTGTAATATGTTTACGTGTGTGAGTGCTGCTGTTGCGAATTGAATTGAAGTTGTGTCTGTGGTCAGTCTGTTGTTGTTGACGGTTTTTGTTGTTGTTGTAATGGCGTTTGGACGGCACTTTTCACACTCACAGGCCCTAACCAATAGTTAATGATTATTTCCCTATTTATTTCACTGTATAAGAGGCGTGTTTGCGTGTTTGTGCCGATCTGCGTCAAGTTGTTTTCTAAACGCCTTTTCCGGGTCTGTGTTTGTCTCTCCTCTTTATACGAGGAAGCATCAGCCTCGTTTGGATAGATGTTTCTGGATAGATGTGTTTGTTCTGCTGGACATGTGCATTTCTCCAACAGGGATCAGTAAAGAATCTATCTATCTATTGTAAGGTAATAAAATGCACTGCCCCCGTGATGACCCAGCCAAGCCGGTTGTGTGTGAGATAACAAAAACACACGGCTCGGAACATCTAAGGCGATGGAGGTCGGATAGAGCACCACAATGGCTCACATAGATACAGCAGTCATCTCAAAGACAGTGATTGTCCCCAGAGCACACCTCTGGCCCCCACCCCCGGCGAGCTCAAAGGGGGCCAGTGGGTCTGCATCGCCTCAAACAAAGCCATAGACATCACCCATGGGCCGGCGATCCGGCAACGGCGTTCCACCACCCCCCCCCAGTGGACACGGGACGCCAATACACCTGAGACGGACAACTGAAACCACGGATGAATATGTTGTTTTGCTAACATCTTAAATCAGAAAACGTGTGTACCATTGTCTGTGAACAAGGTGTGTTGTGTGTCTATGTCTAAGTAACGTGTATGTGGTTAAAACTATGATTTCATGAAAGGAGTTCTGGAGGCGCGGAAAGTCGACGTCATAAGACACGCCCCCAGAGCCGGAACAAAAACAGAGACACAGCAACTTTCGTGTTAACTTTTGCTTGTGAACCTTTTGGGAGCTCTCTTCGAAACTTTCTCTGGGCCAGTGGGCCGCGTCTTGGAGCGCGGCCCACTCCCCTGCGCGATCCAGGGGCCCACAACTTCAACCCAGGCGCAGGTTGGAGCTCGCTGCCCGATCCTTTTCCCTATCGAGCTGAACTCGACTTGCCTGTCCCGCAGCGGCGTAACTGCGCTCCAACTCCCACCAAAAAGGAGCACCGTGGACCATCGCGCCTCAAGCCACCTCTGGGCTTCCCGGGACCGATCCCCGCTCCCTGCTCCCGTGTGTGGAAAGACTGGAGTGTGTGCGTGCCCGCTCTCCATGCGTGAGGAAGACTGAAGTGATTGACCGCCTGACCCAAACGGGTAGAAAGCCTTTTCACCTCTGGGACTTGGCAGTAACAGTAAGACTTGCTGGAGTTGTATTGTGTGTGATGGTGATGTGTTTCTGACATTCCTGTTCATGTGACTTATCATACTTATCATGTGATCCCTCCCGGTTACCGTTCACGTTTCTATATGTAGTTAATAAACCCACGCTAATGTTTAAGAGTCGTCAGTGTTCTTTGTATAATTCATGATATCCCTGGCCGATATAGAGCTCAAGACCTATCAGATTATGAGACTGATCGAGGCAGAATGGATCTGTGCAGACTTTTCGAACTCTGCTGGTGCCCCTCTTACTTAAAATTTAGATCCATTCAACCCGGAGTAGGCGAGGCTTAGGACTACGTTTGCGGCGTTTAATACCGACACAAACTGATACAAAGCCTCCCCTCTCCACATACAATTTTCATACCCTACACTATCTATCTATCTATATATCTATGTATCTATCTATAACAAGAACAACAACAGAAATGCACAGATTGTTAGTCAACTCAGTGTCTGCAGCGTTGGTTGTTCGTGAGCCACAGTTTGAGAATCGATGTGAGCAGTGACAGAGAAGCTGCTCTGTCCAAATATTGTCTTTCTCACGGAAAATCACGGTCTGAGCCACACTCTGCTTCACGAGGAGAAACTGTCAAAGAGGTGCATTCTATACACAGAACAACATCATGGAATTGAAATGAGTACGTATATAAACCACACCAAAATATAACCCGCACCGGAATATAAACCCAGTGGTGGACCCTCAAGGCCTGCAAGGCCTTCACTGCTGGCCTAAACATGATTACATATATATTTTTTATAATCTATATAATATAGAGTTATCTCATTATTATTATTATATTTTCTAAGTTTATTTTCCCACAAACTACATTGGTTCCGCAGCTCCTAACTTCAAGTTGAGATTTGGGAGGTCTGGCGTCTAACAGAGTTTTTATCCAATCATTACACAGCATCATGTGTTGCTATGGCCCAAAATCTGCCTCTCGGCCTTCAGACTCTACAGTGCTGGTCCACGGTAGCTTAGGCTGCGGTCACATGCACGGCCTAAAGCCCGATTAAAGTGGGGCTGGGCCCACTTCGTGATTCGATCCGGGCTTTAGGTGCAATGTGACTGCGGTAACTGTGCTTGGGCACGGCTGGGAGAGGTGGGCCTGAGCACGCTTCCAAAGCCCAGATGAGGGGGGTCAGTGTGGCGGTGGTGGGGAGTGGGGGATGAGGTGTGGTGGAGACTTGATATTGTGCGTCACATTATGTTTTCCTGTGACACACATTTTCACCCACGTCTCTCCTGCACTTTTGCATTCTCCGCTTGTGTTAAACCTTTCATATAAGCCCCGGACCGTGGTCGAGGGGCGCAGGGGGGTGTGTCGCTGCAGGGCCAAAGGAAAACGTTTCCTAAGGGAATAACTCCCTCTGTCCTGACCCTCGGTCTCAGTGTGGTGCTTTTGCAATAACACTTCAGACATTTAAGAATCAGTCTTTATTTAATCGCCAGAACACACACGCACACAGACATACACACACTGTCTCCGGTCGCTCTGCTCGTACGCCACGATTTTCATTCTTTCATTCTTATTCATTCTTTTCTCAGCACTCTTACGCACGTTACTAAAGAGATGTGTCTTTCCCTAAACAACGCAATCCGCACTGAGCTGTAGCTAGTAGCAGTTAGCTACAGTAGCTGTTAGCTACAGTAGCAGAGCGTAAACAGGAAGAGAAAAGGAAACTCAACCTAGACAACGAGGTCGTCGCTGGAGTTAGTGTTAGCGCCACCAGCTGGACCGAGTGTTGTACTACAGCTTAGTGACTCTGGCACGTTTCGCTGCAGGCGCAGGTCTGAAATAAACGGACCACCACTGTATAAACCACACCAGAATAAAAGCCATGACCACCACATGTTTGTAATAATGAAAAATGCAGCTCAAACCTTTCTTCTTATTAATCACTCAATCAATTTTATTTATAGAACTCTTTACAACACTCAAGGCGACCAAAGTGCTTTACAAAAAAATCACATAAAATCCATTAAAATATTTATGCGTTCAAACAATAAAACAGTTAAAAAGCATTTCAAAAGTGCCATCGTGCTAATGAGTGTTAAAAGTGTTAAAAGTCAGTCTGAATAAAATAAGTTTTGATCCTTTTGGAAAGCTTTATTATTGGCACAGGGGAATCACGAGAGCATGTTTCTCCAGATATCTAATCTCTTTGCTGGAAATCTGTCTTTTTTTTCTTTTATTTTGTTTGTAGACATGATTCAGCTGGCCTCGCACAATCCTACGGTCTGGCAGAAAGGCAGGGATCCAAAAGAGTCAGAGTCCACTCTAGTTCCTGACGTGGTTTACAGTTTGTCTGCAGAGATGTAGAAAGATGGAAAGCTCCAGTTCCAGACACACTTCTCTCTCAGAAACTTTTTGTCTATCTGTAAATGTTTCTGCAGTTCAGTGTCCATGGTTTTACACTGGTCCAGACCAGAGCAGAGAGGATTCATGGTTTTACACTGGTCCAGAACAGAGCAGAGAGGATGGTCCAAACCAAGAGGATCAAGCAGAAATCCAAAAGAGGAATTACATCCATCCATCCATCCATTTTCTCCCGCTTCATCCGTTGCCGAAGCGGGGGCAGCAGTCTAAGCAGAGACGCCCAGACTTCCCTATCCACACACACTTCCTCCAGCTCGTATGGGGGGACCCCAAGGCGTTCCCAGGCCAGCTGAGAGACAAAGTCCCTCCAGCGTGTCCTGGGTCTTCCCCGGGGCCTCCTCCTGGTGGGACGTGCCCGGAACACCTCCCCAGGGAGGCGTTCAGTCATCCGTAACAGATGCCCGAGCCACCTAAACTGGTTCCTCTCGACGTGGAGTAGCAGCGGCTCTACTCCGAGCTCCTCCCGTGTGACTGAGCTCCTCACCCTATCTCTAAGGGAGCGCCCAGCCACTCTGCGGAGGAAGCTCATTTCGACCGCTTGTATTCGCGATCTCATTCTTTCGGTCACTACCCAAAGCTCATGACCATAGGTGAGGGAGGGAATGAAAATTGACCGGTAAATCGAGAGCTTTGCCTTTCGGCTCAGCTCCCTCTTTACCACAACGGCCCGATACAGCGACCGCATCACTGCGCACGCTGCACCGATCCACCTGTCAATCTCACGCTCTGTCCTTCCCTCACTCGTGAACAAGACCCCGAGATACTTGAACTCCTCCACTTGAGGAAGGACCTCTCCACCCACCCGGAGAGGGCAAGGCACCCTTTTCCGGTCGAGCACCATGGCCTCAAATTTGGAGGTGCTGATTCTCATCCCAACGGCTTCACACTCGGCTGCAAACCGTCCCAGTGCATGTTGCAGGTCCTGTTTCGTTGGAGCCAACAGGACAACATCGTCCGCAAACAGCAGAGATGAAATCCTGTGGTCGCCAAACCGGACCCCGTCCGGCCCCTGGCTGCGCCTAGAAATTCTGTCCATGTATACAGTGAACAGAACCGGTGACAAAGGGCAGCCCTGGCGGAGGCCAACATGCACCGGGAACAGGTCCGACTTACTGCCGGCAATGCGAACACAGCTCTGACTCCGGTCATACAGGGATCGAACGGCCCTCAATAGAGGACCCCGGACCCCATACTCCCGGAAGACCCCCCAAAGGACACCCCGGGGAACACGGTCAAACGCCTTCTCCAAATCCACAAAGCACATGTGGACAGGTTGGGCGAACTTCCATGAACCCTCGAGTATCCGATGGAGAGTATAGAGCTGGTCCAGTGTTCCACGGCTGGGACGAAAACCACACTGCTCCTCCTGAATCCGAGATTCGACCATCGGCCGTAGCCTCCTCTCCAGTACCTTGGAGTAGACCTTACCGGGGAGGAATTACATTTTTTATTTAAAAAAAATTCTAAGAAAGCATTTAGAATTTCACCCTGAACCAGAGCAGAGATAATGGTCCAACCCATACAGACTCTGCAACATCAACCAAAGGCAGCAGCTCATCACCGACGGCTGCACGTGATACTTTACTACGACTGAACCCTTTAAGGATCACCTATTTTCGCCTGTTCCTTCTCGAAAGATGAACCCAAATGAAAATGCTTGTTGTGTGGACATCTTGTGTCTGATGTTGTGTTATGATGCCTCATTTGAAAGGTAACACCTTCTAGTTTCTGGAAATGTATTTTACAGTTTGTTAGGAAGGACACAGTCTGCACTACACCTTCTCAAACATGAGTCAAAGTTTGTTTTTTTGGCCTAGAAAAAAAAGGCAATTTCAAAAGGTTCTCCTGAAGACATACTTTATGGTATGTTGTTAAAACTCACCAGAGCAGATGTCTGTGGTGTTGGCAACAACTGTAGGAATTTTTAGACCTTTAGATGGAACCATTTTGATGCTGGGGTAGGGTGACCATACATCCCGATTTACCCGGGACAGTCCCGATTTTGAGCTTTCCGTCCCGTGTCCCGGAGGTTTTCGTTAGCCCCATAGTTTTGTCCCACTTTTCTGACGCTCTGTCCCGGGCGTCCCGATTTATGTCTTTATCCAATGTTAGTAAGTAAGTAGTAAGTAAGTTTTTATTTATATACCGCCTTTTCACTGCAGGTCTGAGTCTCAAAGCGGTTTACAATTGTTAATTTTGGGCATTAGTCTCTCACTCCACACAGAGATGGGAGCAGGGCCAGTACAGGAGGCGCATGCTAGAACTATTGGACATGTTTTTAGTGGTAGGGGAAACCGGAGTACCCGGAGGAAACCTACGCAGACACGGGGAGAACATGCAAACTCCACTCAGAAAGGCCCTGGTCCGACCGGGATTCGAACCCAGGACCTTCTTGCTGAGAGGCGAGAGTGCTATCCACTCAGCCACCGTGCCGCCCAAGCAAATTACAGCACACATGGCTGAATCTTGTTGTCTTTGGGCAATGCGTATGCCAGTCACACAGTTGCCATAGCA